CAGAGCCCTGCTTGGGAATTAAGTATTCAGCCCAAACAATCTGTATTCTGTGACCCCTCTTACCCTGTGAAGCATCTTCAGGCCCCTGTGCCAGTTTGCTTAATATCTCTCTCTGTTTATGCCTTGAGCCCAGATGTCCAGGCCCCTCTGACAGCTCCACTGATCCCCTCAACACCAATGTCTCATCCTGAAGCCTCCAGGACGTGCCACTGGCTACTTGCACTTCACTTCTCCTTAGTACCTCCATCCACCCAGCTCCTAGGACAGAAGCTTGGGACTCACCTTTCACTCATCCTCCAACACTTCACCTAAAATCATGATGACTCTGTCCCGAAAAGGTCAGGCCCTGACAAACCGCAAAACAGACGAAGAGGTCTTAGAGTTGTTCAGGACAGGGTCCCTGGTGTATACATATATACCTCATATCCAAGTCTGTACCTCTCACAAAAGACTCCAACCAGCTCTTCCACAGCAGCCAAGATGCACACCTGAATGTGTGTACTATGGTACTGGGTTCCGTACCTCTCCCTCGATACTCTTCATAGAAGCTTCAGAACCTTTAGAATCAAACTGGAACCTTAGCCCAAGATCCATGGCCTTCTGTGAGCCTGCCTCTTCTCACACTTGCAGCCTCTCGTGCTGTCTTTGTTTCTGATCATCATTATTTGGCAACACTGCCCTTTCTGGTTGCTCCCGTCTACCAAGTTCTTCCTCACCACAGGGTCTGTGCAGGAGCCTCTCCATCTCAGCCAAGCAGGGTGGAAATGCTCTTCTTTACGATTCTCTTCATTCTTCCACGCCAAATTTAAGAGTCAGTTCCTCATACAGACCTTCATTGACTTCACAAGGCTTTGGCCAATCCTTCCATCTAAATCAGGTCCACTGGTTGTTTATTTCAGGGTATCATTTCTTCATAACATTGACACATTTTACTAGTGTGGTTATTTTGGTGTTCCAACTTTACTTGAGGCTGGACAGTTTGAAAGCACAGCATGCATCTGTCAAAGGATCTAAATCTGCTGCATAGTCTCATGTGCCCTGCAGGATTCCCAAGAGCATTAAGGAAATAGTCCACATGCATTCACAAATAAGTCTGCCCCTACTCCTCAACACCAGTTCAAATGATCCTTCTAAAATTCTCTGTAAATCAATGTGTCCCTCTGCAAAAGGCCAAGTTTCTAAAGCATGTGTGTATGAGTATGTGTGTGTGCATGTGTGTGTGTTGTATGTTCATGTGTGTGGGAGCATTTATATTCATTCATGTGCACAGAGGTTAGAGGAGGATTTCAGGTGTCCTGTTCTATCACTCTCCACCTTATTCCCTTGAGGCAGAGTCTCTCACTAACCTGAAGGTAGGTTGGCAGACAGCAAGCCCCGGAAATGTCTCTTCTTGTCATAACCCCCACCCACTCCAGCATATAGTTTATGTGTGTGCTATACATTTGAACTCAGATTTTCATGCTTGCACAGTAGGCACACTCTTACCCACTGAGCCATCTTCCTAAACCCATTATTTCCCCTTTTTAAAAATAAAAGTTAGTCAATTTATATACGTCCTCTCTGAGATTTTGAACTCCCTGGAGTCGAGGGACAATCCTCCTTATCTTTTCATTATCCTGCATCCTGAAGAAGGTTTGACACACCAGATATATTCACTAGAATGTTGAATCATTCCAGACACCCTCTCATCTACAGTAACCTGTCTAGACAATCACCTTGTTCTCTATAATCAATAACAAATTAAAATGCCAAAGACCAGAAACTAGAGGATGATATAATAACTAATTCCAGGGGGGGAAAGCAGAATTCCAAATCTCTTTAAAACATACCTTTGAATTTCTTTAACATGCACAAGCTTATCAGTCTCTTTTCTTGCTGTGACAAAAGCAACTTTTAAGGGATACAGTCCATCCATCGTGGTGGGGAAGACCTGGGGTAAGGAGCTGGAAGCAGCTGGTCATTTGCATCTTCAGTCAGGAAGCAGAGAGAGATGAATGCTGGTACTCAGCTCACTTCTTACTTTTTGTTCAGTTCAGCAGCATCCCCCAGCCACCCATAGGATGGTATTTCCCACCTTCAGAGTGGGTCTTCTCTGTTTAGCTAAGCCTTTCTAAAAACAACTTCACAGATACATTCAGAGGTATGTCCCCTAGGTGATTCTAACTCTGTTGAGAATTGCAACTCTTATTAGTTACTCTGCAAAACTCATTTCAGAGAATGTGTAAGGCCAATGACTGCTCTGAGTGAGTGTGGACCCCTGGTTTCTTTGCACTGAAGTTACAAAGGAATCATGACACTAGCTCCCTTTTAGACTGTGACATGTTGGGAGCAAACACCACAAATGCCTGTAGCTAATTCAAACCTGCACAACTTCATAAAAATCAGAAAGGCTTAAATATCATCTAACAAGGTAGAACAACACCCCCACACAAAGCTCTGGAACTCCCTTCTCTATTCCAGGAAATAAGTACATTATCCCTAGTCAGAAACAACAGAGACTATTCAGCCCATACAACAGGATGGGGTCAGTGTGAGGAGTGGGAAGGACTTAGAAGCTGCAAGATGTCAAGAATTATGGACATATCTGAGAACCATCCCTTCCTCCAAAGAACTCTGTTCCCATAGGGCAAATGGTAGAATGCTAACCTAAATCCAAGCAGGAGGCCTTGAAGGACCAGAGTAAGGGTTTGAAGCAATGGAATGACAGGTGAAAAGACCCAGTTTCATCTACTACTGCTGAGGTCCCAGGTCCTACTATACAGTGTCTTTGCAAACGTTCAGCTGGAGTGCAGCGGTCAGCTGGTGGGTGTGGGAGGTGGCCATGGTACTCCGAGTACAGATCAGCTGCAGAAGCTAATTCCGCTGCCTCTCATTCCATCTAGATGTGTTTACTAAGCTCTCATTCTGTGAAAATCCACATCTTGGGGGAGGGCGAAGGTAGGAAGAGACATCCAAAGAAATCTCACATGACTTCTGGTCATGAGAGTGAGCAGCTAGCCTGGTACAAATATCTCATACAATCTGTAATATCTCTCTTTGGTTCACATGCTTAACCACATCCCTTGAGATATGGGACAAAACCAAGACATCCTGTAGACCCAAAAGCCATCACAGGGGACCAGTTAAAAAAATGATAGAATAGTTAATCACTGCAAGAAATTTGTCTTGAGAAGCTGACCACGCTCACGATTTCTGGTATTTCTGTCTGTCCACTGAGAAAAGACCCGGACTTCACAGTGTATCAAGTTGCCCAGATGTGACCAACAATACTCCTTACAAGTCCCAAGGTCCATATAGCATAGAGAACGATGTAACGGACAAAGCAGTTCCCAACAGTGATGTAATGGTGGATGAATTATGTAAGTCACCTAAGAGTTTATGCTTTTCCCCAATAGAAGTCTATTCTGGACTCAGCCATAATCTTTTTTTTTTCCTTTGCTTTTTCTAGTATTGTTCCAGTTGAATCTATTAATTTTCTACTGATTTCTAAGAAGAAGAATAGGTTGAAAGTACATCAATGGTAAACAAAGTTTCCAAGCCAGTCATCTACCCACTCAGTGTTCCAGACAGGGACTCCATGTCTGCTCTCCTAGGACTGCCTGTTTCAGTTAATCAGCCTCCTTTCTTGGAATTATAGAAGTTCATTGCCTCCTTGTCCCCACAGGCACCTGCCTCTGTGTATTCTGGCTTTCCTCATTTGCCTTTACCCAAGTCTAATGAAGGCCAGATCCCACACTCTGGCTCGCTGGTACTTTCCTTCTCTGTTGAGGCCACTATAGCTAAGTCTGACTGACTGCACCTGCCTCTTTTCAATGCAGTCCCTGCTTCCAGTCTTACTATCTTCTATCATTTCAGCATAGCTGACAAATCCACCTTACAAGAAAGCAGTGATCATGTGGCTCCCCTGTTCAGTACCACTTAAGACCCTCTCCTAATGTGGGAAGAGGCTGTCACAGTCCTTGTCTTTCAAGATCCTTTGAACCTGGCCACATCCATGCAACTCAACACCAGGTCCCTCTGTTCCATCTCACACCTCCTTCACTGGCCTTCAGCCATGCTTAGAGCGTGCCCATCGTCACTTCATGACTTATGCCTGCAATGTCTCTCCGACTGTGTCTCTGCAGTTTCAAACCGTACCTTCTGCAAGGTCCAGCTAAAGTGTCCAAAGTCCCCGAACCCTCTGGGACCAACATGGATGGAGCGGGGCTTCCACTCATAACTCTGAAGACATTCTTGTCCCACAAGCACTCTGGTAATTCACTCCACAAGGTCTGGGTCTGCACCCCAACACAGGACCCCTTCCACTGGACTTTCCCGGGGTCTGAGCTCTATGGCCGTCCCTGCCTCAATCTACAACAACGACCCATGATTCTCCAGGCCCACAGCAGACAGCACAAGACCTAAAACTTGGGGGCAATCGCACATCTATCCTCTCAGCCTTTCATGACACCATTGGGAACTTTGCCAACGACAATAGGGCTCCCCGCCACAGTTCCACAGCAGCCCAACACTCCCACTTATTCATGAACTCCTTGATTTTTTTTAATCTGCCAGCATGAGCCCAGTGATCACAGGCTGTACCTTGGGGGACAGCAGACAATCGGACAGGGACTGGGCTGCTCCGGGTTACCTTATTAGCAGTAACTCCCGAAAGGACTGGGATATACAGTGGCCAGGTGTAAACCCCTCCAAAGACCAGCGCGAGGGAGGCGGGGCCGATAGGCGAAGAGTCCCGGGAGTTCCGCCCTGTTGAATCCCCGCTCCAAACTTTTCTCTCGCTCAGCGCGACACCTGGCATCTGCCGGCCCCTGTGGCTCTTGAGCCCGCGGGCGAGCACTGAGTCACCCGCGTTAGCGGCGGGCGCCGCCGGGACAGGCTGAGCACCGTTTGTGAAGGAGGATGCCACGGCCGATGCTGATGCTGAGGCTGCCGTGCGGCGGCCGCTCCCCACCCCCGGGCTGCGCTGCTCAGGCTGGGCCCGAGGCTCGCCCGCTACTCACCCGGAGGGTTGACGGCGGCCGGGGTTGCCATCTTGCCGGGAGGGACCGGCGGGGGCGGGGACGGGGACCCGGCGCGGGCCAGCGCCGCCGCGGCCGCGCCACACAAAGGAAGGTGCGGGCGGTGCTCCCCGCGCTCCCGCGCTCTGAGAGCGCCCCGCGCTCCTGCCCGCGCTGCTCCTCTCGCCCCGCGCGCGCCCCGCTCCTCCGCGCGCACCCGCGCTCCTCCCTTCCCCGGCCTCCTACCGGTTCAGCCTTTGTGGTGCGTCTAGGGTGCCGGGCCCGCGGCTCCCGGGTCCGAGCCGTAGCACCGCGAGACTTGGGGCAGCGGGCAGCGGGACCCCACTCGGGCCCGCGCAGGTGCCCAGGCTGGAGGCCTCTGCGCACTCCCTAACAGCCCTCGTAGGGTCCCCACGTGTCGGGGCCACATCGCCGAGGGGCGCTGTCCCCTCGCGGAGGAGCGGGTGAACAAGCGACCCATTTGGATGCAGAGGACAGCCGGCCTCAGAAACAAAGGCGTCCCAGTGCTTCCACTTAGCATGCCAAGGCCGCACCACTGGACTCCCGGGACTCCCTAGCTAAAGCTGTAGAAGAGGGCTTAAGGGAAGGAGCTTAGAAATTCCTGAGGCCACCGTCCTTCCAGCGCGCTCACAGGCAGCTTCAGCATAGAGCTTGGCCCAGGAATGGAGAGAAGCCTGGGAGGCCTTGAGGACAGTGCCTATCTAGCTCTGCCTTCCTGAGGTCATGGCCAACTGTCAGCGTTTATTCATGAGTCCTCTCGAGGGCCTTATTCACACCTCCAAACTGGGGCCTTAAGAAGGTTTCTAATGATTTCATCTGCATATGCAGGTGAAATTAGAGGGAAGAGAACACGTGAAGAGGTGTTTTTCAGACAGCTACTAGCATTCCTGGTGGGGATGTTCCACAGTAGATGCCCTGATGAGGTGAGATTGGAAGACCAGAGCTGAGGGCAGTGTGGCTTCTAATACTGTTACATCTACAAAAGATGCCACCCTGTTTCCAGAGAAACATGGGATAAGATAGGGAAATAGTGCTTCGGGTGTGTTTTCAAACCAACATTATCTTGGGCAAGTGTTTGTCTCAACTGCCCTAATTAATTGGGCAAATGTTGAACGTTCTCTGTGTCCAGGATAGACCTGGGCATTGGGCATACAGGAGTCCTGTCCTGCAGGGCTTCTAGCCTAGGAGGGAGGTGGGAAGAAGGACATAAGGCCCCCACTGTATTGGGGTTAGCTGCTCCCGGAAACAACTAAAATTTGGAACCTCTGAAATTTGGTCACTGCTGAGTGAAAGGGTCAGAGAGCAGGTGACACTGAAAGTCGTCCTTGAGAAAATGACCAGGATATAGGGAAGGACAAAAGCAAGACATTTCCAAGGGATAGTAACACACTGTGTCCAGACACAAAACAGACCAAGCCCAGATGGAAGCTAAGAGAGATCAATGGAGGTATCAGCCAGGACCTAAAACTTCAGCAGGTGTCTAAGTAAAAGGGCCCTGATGGCCAGCTGCAAACCAAGTGACACTCAGCCTCTCTTCTGTACTCCCCCAAAGGCGACACTCTCCAGGATCCATTGGTACTTAATCAAGGTCAATTGTGTGTGTGTGTGCACGTGCATATGTGTGCGTGATGGAACTCATGTAGAGGTCAAAAGACAACTTGCGGGTGTCTGTTTTCTCCTTCCACCATGTTGATCTCAGGGCTAAAATTCACTTAGGCTTGGGGGCAAGGCAAGTTCTCTTTACTTGTATCTCACCCGTGTGTCTTCTTGCTAGCGTTCATTCGTTATAATAAAAGACAGCTATCAAGTGAGGAATAGCTGGGAACCCAGGCACTTTCTGGTGTCTACCTTGTGCCATAGTTTGGGATTTGGGGTTTTAATTTCATAAGAAAGGAGATACTTTTATCTCCCCCTTCTCAAGTAGAAAGTACCTGTGTCAACAGTTAGCTTTCCAGAGAGGAAATAAACTCAGAGTAGAGAAGTGAATTTATCAAGGTCATATACTTTAATGGCTAGATGAGACTTGGTGCTGAGTCACCCCGAGCATGAGGATTTGGTGGCTGGGAAGGGAAGAATGGGCTGCGGAGGAGGAGAGGAAAAAATAGGGGACCAGGCCCACGTTAGCCTGCTTTATCTCTCAGAATTAAATAGGTTCAGTGCCCAGAAACATTGATTGTGGATGAAAGCCCCCCCTTAAGTAAACAGTCTGAAATGGATCAGTTAGTCATTGCTGAGCACAGAGCAGTGGCGTTTATACAATACAGTGGTCCTGTGCTAATTAAGAGAGCTAGCCAACTGTGACCAGTAGCAGGCTTAGAATTTCCATTCAACCTTAACCCAGAACTCTCAAATGCCAAAGGAGGCATTGAACTTGAAGCTGAGATTTACATTTTTGAAATGTGTGCCCATAGCACACAGTTACAGGTCTAGGCTCCCAGAAATGGCCAGCGAGTGTCTCATAATACCCAAATCTCAGAATATTTCTTTCTTTCTCAACTTTAGGAGAGGAAGCTGTGACCCTGATTCTGCTTCGTAGCCTGAGTCCTGACTCCAGAGACAAAGGACTTCTGTAAGACAGAAAATTATTTGAGGGATGTTTATTTCCTTCTAACTCTACGTGAGGTCAGCAAGAGACAAGAGGAAGGAGCAGAGTTATCAATAGAAAGGGTGAGTTAAAGGATGAACAAGGCCACTGTGAATCCAACCTCAGGCTTGGGAACTTCTGAAGGCCCCTAAGGAAGCCTGACATTTGTTGATTCTGCAGCTGGTTGACCAATTAGAACTTCCGTGACTGGGGAGGCAACCATGTTGCAGACAGAATGCCAACATCCTACCACTATCAGGTAAAACCTTCAGAATATATTATTTGAAAAAAACAAAACTTTAGCTTTCTCCAACCCCAAAGCTAAGAATGTCATCAGAGTCTATGTGGTGGATCATGCCTGTAATCTCAGCCCTAAATGGCTGTTGTAGAAAAATTACTGCAAATGAGATACCAGCCTGGGATAAATAAGTTCCAGCCAGCTTGAGTTACAGGAAAAACTCTGTCTTAAGTAATATAATATAATAAATATAACACAGTATAAATAATAAAGATAGGTTTTGAGACCCATAGCAGAGTTTGCCCTGTTTTGCTCTAACCTGCCACCTGATGTCCCCACTAGTATATTTGACTCAGGGTAAGTGTCACAACAAGATCTGTGTTTTGCATCCACAGGCTTTTCTTCATATTTCCTTTCATCTTTCTTCGCTCCTCCGTTCTTCCCTACTTACCTCTCTTTTCTGGAAAGAAAGATTTCTAGGAGTCTGTCATCTCACTGTCACCTCCTTGTCTTTCACTCTATTTGACCAAAATACACCCCTAGATGGCCCAGCCAGGCATCTCACCTCCCCATCCCACCTGCCTTCTCTAGCAGACCTCTCCTCCTTTGGAAGAATCACAGACTTAGGCAGTCAGAGGAGATGAGACGTTAATTTTAGGCAGTAAGGTGCACCTTTTCTGCCCTCGAAACAGGTTTTTCCACTGTTACTTATTCTCTTTCCCTGGACACTTTGCTCAACCTCCTTAGGTCTTACCTTCCTCAAACTGTAAAATGGGATTGCATTGCCCACTGCGCTGAGTCACCATGGAGATGAACTTAAATGAGAAAATCCACGTGTTATCAACACTGGAGAGACTACAATGCTCTGCAGGTGTGTTGCATGATAGAGGATGTGGGAAGTCCTTGTCCAGAAGAAAGATGGGAGGGAGAAGCCTACCATGTCAGTCCTTGCTGCAGAGTGAGGGGAGAAAAGGAGAAGAAAGAAGATGTGGAGGAGAGGGAGGAAAGGGGAAAGGGCGGTAGACCCATGGGCTCTGATTTGCATGTTCTGGACTAATCCCCAAGACTGACAGGTCAGACAAGTAGAGAGAAAATTCAAAGGAAGAGGGATTCAGGTCTGTTTCCTATTTAGGAGGCACGAGGAACCTCCACAGGGCAGTTCCACAGGGGCTAGAACTCTGAGTCTCACACAGTATTCCTGTACTTGGCTTCTTTTTACCCCTTTAACACGGGGGTAAAATGTCAATAACAAAATCATTTCTATATTTAAGGATTAGCTACAGCAAAAATCACAACATGGTGGAAACTTTAACCAAGCTTTTGTGATTTGATAGGTCCTGAAACCAGCTACAAAAGCTAAATGTAAAACACATTGTTTCTTGGTCAAATTGCAGAAATGTAAGCCTCTTCCTCTTGCCTTCTGCTCAGCTCCTCCTCTAAGGTAGGTCAAAATGATCCTAGACCTAAGGGGAAGATAAGTGTCTAGGACCGAGAAGGTTGGAAATGAGGCAATAATGGCCCATAATGCTATGGCATATAGCTGGTATGCTAAGTCTTGGTTTGTAGCTCTTTGCTGTACTATCTGGCTTTCAATTGTTTCTAGCTTCTAAACTGGCCCTTGCCGTATAGAGCAATAGCTCTATGTGTAGAGCCATTTCAAGGCCACACCTCTGAATCCTTTCCAAACAATTCCACCAACTAGGAACCAAACAGATGGGGGGGGGGTCATTCTCCTTCAAACCACCATAGATCAAATAGAAAATAGTTTAGATTCAGCTGTTCTCAGAGTATGATCCTGGAGCCTCACGATCCCATGTTAAAATCTCAACAGTGGTATGTACCTGCTGTGTGAATCAAGATTTCTGTGCCTCAGCCTGTCCCCTATGAAGAAAACGTAGTGATAATGCTTACCTCAGAGGAGTTTTATAAGGATTGCAGGAGCAGATATTATCTGGTGTGTGTTTGGTAGGATGTATGTGTTGACATTGCTATAGAGAGGCTAAGTAAGGTTCTTCACCTAAGATTGTCATGGAGCATGTCGTATTTACTTTTCTGTTGGTAGAGCACCATGACCAAGGCAGCTTGTAAAAGAAAACATTTAATCTGGAGCTCATACCTTCAGAAGGTTAGAGTCCCTGACCATTATGACAAGCAAGCATGGTGCTGGAGCTGTAGTTAAGCATGAGGCAGCTAGAGCTAACTGGCAATTGCTTGGGTTTTTGAAACCTCAGAGGCTTCTCCTAATGGCATACCTCCCATAACAAGGCCATACCTCCAAATCCTTTTCAAACAATTCTACCAACTGGGAACCAAATATTCAAATATATGAGCCTCTGGGGGTTGTGCTCATTCAAACCACCACAGAGCAAATAGAAAAGAAAAATAAAACA